GCGACAGAGATGGAGATGAGGGAGAAGACCAAGTTCGCGATAGCGAAGTCCAAAAATAGTCTCCCTGCCGAATATCCAATCAATATCTGCCACAAAATGTCCAATCAGATCCTGGGCCTCATGGCCCGATGTAACCCCTGCCTATAACCTTTCTCTCTCTCTCTCTCTCTCTCTCTCTCTCTCTCTCTCTCTCTCTCTCTCTCTCTCTCTCTCTCTCTCTCTCTCTCAAAGAAGAAGAAGAAGGAGAAGAAGAAGAAGAAGAAGAAGAAAAAGACGAAGACGAGGGAAGGAGGACGAAGGAGAGATGAAGGGCGAGAGCAAAAAGAAGAAGAAGATGTTGTCCTCCTCGCTATCTCACCTCCAGGTAACTGCTGCCATGTACTAACTGCCGCCGCTTGTCTCCTCTGAGTCCTCTGTGCTGCAGGGCACTGATGCGAAGAACAGCTATGGCGCCCAGGTAAGATCTCCGCCGACGCAGGTATGGCCCCCGCCTCACTTTCTACCTACACCTCTACCTCTAGTGTAGCACTGTCGCGCTGTTCCAGCGGCGTGTCGCCCAGGAAGTGAGCTACTCGAACTGTGTGTCTGCCCTGGCGTGGCCCAGCTATAAGTAACGCCGGGGCTCGCGGGTGTGCCTCCGTGTGCCTCTGGTCCTAGGCCAAAACGTGGCCTGCCTGGATCCCTACCGGACGTCCAGGCCCTCCCTGCTGATGCAGCAGGGAGTGTCCAGAACTGAACAGCAACGGACCTGGCCCGGACGGGCGCGCGTCTGAGCGTCGTGCGGCCTGGGGGACCCCAGCAACCTTCGAGCGCCCAAAAAGGGGGCTGTGTGCAGGCTCAGCATGTAACAGTAGTCTGCACCGCCCACATGCATTGCATCAAGTGACTACCAAAAAGGGCATTGTATTTGACGCAACTACCACAGTATGATGTGGGGGGGTGAACTTAAGAGCAGAAGGGCCAAGCGTGGTTGAGTGCCTGATGAGGAGCTACAATCCTAGACGGCTGTGGAATGGCCTATGTATTGGACCTTGGTCTTCTCGTTGCCGGATCAAAGACAGGCAGGCCTATTGTGGCTATTGCCAGATCTTGCGATACCCACGATGGAATGGTTGCCCAAAAGAAGCCGCCACAAGGACACGGTGTGCAGAGTTTGTGGTGCCCATGAAGAGACCGTGCACCACCTCTTCCTGGGATGACCGACCATTGTCGCCTTTTGGGCGCAGTGCTTGTAGATGTGGCCTGCCATCATTTACCATGGCCTCAGCACCATCACACTTGAGTTCTTTTGGGGTTGTTGGTCGGAGCAGCAACACACGGCTTGTGAAGGGACCAGGTTTGGGCCATGGAAATAATCAGGGCTGCAGCCTTGTGGGCAATATGGTGCTGTCGAAAGGAAGCAGTAATGGAGGACCGGTCCGCGGTGGCAGCTAAACTAACGGCATACTTCCACGACAGCCTCAGAATAACGCTGCAGGTGGACTTCCACAAGGAGCTGAAGAAATGCCCACCAACACCCCCCCTCAATCAGACATCCTTTGCTAGAACATGGGGGCCCTATGTTGTACTGGTCCAGTCTGAGATAGGTTAGACTACAAGGCGTTTGATGTTTGGCCCGCTTTTCAAACCGGACCGTCCGGCAGCCTAGCACATGGGATTGGACACCACTAGGGGGAGTGGGTCACAACCTGGGCAGGAGGGGAGGAACGCAGAGGTTCGCAGCTAATTAGGGGGGGGAGGGGAGGGGGGCGAGGGGAGGGGGGGGAGGGAGTATACTGATAGTACCGGTAGTATGAAGGAACACTAGGTATAATGACGGCGTGATTACGTGTGCATGCATTGAGGGGACGGACTACCAAATTGGGTCCTGCTGCCCCATTACCTCCTCCAGCTCCCCCACTCTCCACACGCGTGGTATTCTCGCTCTAAGGCACAACCATGCCGTCAGTCTTCCCGCGCTGTGTCTCTAACTGCCTTGAAGTTCGCCCAATAGCTCTCGCCCTCGCACGCTCAATCTCTCTACTACACCTCTTTTGCCCATCTCTTCCCATCTTACTTGTAGCGACTTGGCGCGAGCATCTCTGAGCACCGATCTTCTGCGGTTTTCTCTGTTTTTTTGTCCAGCACCAATTCACCTTGGCAGTGTTGTCACGATTGGCCTGTTGTGATCTCTACCTCATCCTGCTGTCACCTCTGTCCTGCAGATCTCCCTGTTATATCACTTGCTGTTCCCCCCCCCGCCCCCTTGAACCCCTCTCCTCCCTCCCTCCCCCTTGCAGTAACCCTGTTCAGCAGCAGACCGGGGCTCAGAACGTTGCCCCCGGTAAAACACAGACTCAGTTGTCTGTGCTGGGCTATGTGACTGAGACATGCCCAGCCTGAGTCTGGCGAGGAGGCTGTGTGACCGAACGCAGCACAAAGGAAATTCAACAGTCAAAGTCAACTGTAGAGTCAAAGGTACCGCGCCCAGGCCTATGGTCGGTTACATTCACTTGTTGTGTGCAGGTACCCAGACAGCATTCAGGGCGGGAGGAATACAGTTTCTGGCCAATCTGGGCCCTCCTTCACATCGAGATCTGGACGGTGCAGTACTTCAGCACCCGGGGTCCAGACCCCGCATCCACGCTATTTAAGAGTTGACTT